CATCGCATGCACCGCCGTGCCGATGGTGGGGCTCATCTTCCTCGACCAGAACCGGAACCCGAACATCCAGTTCTCCCAGAAGATCATGCACACGCGCATCTACGGCCAAGTCACGAGCGTCGTGCTGCTCCTGAGCACCATGGCCATGTACGATTACATGTCCCGTCGAGGCCGCTTTGAGTAGACTCATAAACCGCCACTTCACTTGCATATACTTATATTTTAAATGCATTTCTACCCTTGTATGCCGGTTCAACACTGCTCGATCTCTGAAAAGCCGCACCAGCTACAGACTATATCAACGTTAGTAGTACTTTCATGAAAAATATCGACTAAAATTAATAATTCACGTACTATTAATAGTATACAGGTGCTTAAGCGGCAAGGGGGGCGTTCACCGGTGAAAAGCAGCATCGAGGAAACCTCCTTCACACCAGTATGTCCAGAAGGCATCAACTAACATTGGTCAGGTCAATGGTCGAAATATAATGTAATGAAGTAGGTTCTGGACGAAATGTATCGAATGTTCGGCGTATGGCGTGAATCAGTTGTGCATTGGACGAAATATACCGGAAATAACCTGAACTTAATCGAAAAATGGTGTAGTTAGTTAAAATCCACGCTGCCTCCTAATTCCTTTCAATCTTTTGGACTGGAGGAAGCTAACATATGCTTGGTCAGGAATGGGTCGACTGGTAGAGGATGCCTCAATGTTTCCATTTTTTTCGTCAAGTCTATATCTAACATGCGAGTGCCTAAAGAGTATTATGGGAAGAATATGTTTATTATCAAGTGAAAGCGGTTGGTTCTATGCTAACGTTATATATCATTGTTTTGAATTGCCGCTACCGAGGTCATGAGACAATGAGTTCATCGCCAACACGATTTAAATATTGTCGCAATGGAATAAATTATGCATGCTTGATATATTAAAAATTCCAAGTATTTAATTTTGCCAAGATGTTGCAGCAATTAATCCTTTTCTGTATTTTCTGAATTGTTTTGATTCCACTTTGTTATTTCCCATCTCCTAGTCTCTCAACTATAATAGCATACTGTATTATCCTTGCGAGATGGTTGTAAGGAGCAGGTTGGCGGCGGTGCGGCAGCCTCCGTCAGGGTCCATGTCCTTGTGGTATTGCAGGAACGGCACCAGATGTGGCCCCAGGTTCAATCGGTCCACTTCTTCCTGCCACACAAACGAAGGCAGTACCAGCATCACTCGGCTCAAGCCAAAAAACACCTACAACACACATGAAAATCTCATAAATACATATACCTTCAAAACGAATAACCTCTACCAATACATAAATCCAAAATCGATTTCCAACCTGGCGGCGCACGCTAGGCAGGGCGTGGCTGCGTTGAGACCACAACAACTCTAGAAACCGCTTCCCCATCGATACCACGTGCGGGGAATTTTTCCCCGTCGCTTCGAGAACCCGGGCCAGCGTGTGCAGCACATGCGCCATCAATAGGTCGTCCAGCACATGCCTCTGTCCAGTATCTTCTCCCCACGATGGAGAAGCTTGTGGCTTTAAAAGTCGAGTTTGGGGTCGTGTAGCATGCAGCATCAACTTGGCTTGAAGGGGATTCAGAAGCGGAAAGAAGAACTGCGCCGGCCAAAATGACTGGCCACCGGAATTCATCCAAGTTGGCCGAGAAGGGGGGAGGATAGATCGAGAGGACGGGATCGCCGTCGCAGCGTCTCCAATGGCCTACAGTATAAATATATATATACTAGTATATATATATTGTAGGCCACTATATATATATATATTGTCAAGTCGATGCGAAATCGAATGACCAGCAGCACCAAATCGACAGACAATCAATCGACCAATTAGATCACGAATCCAGTAACCAATTAAATCCGGTGTTCGACCAAGTACTCAACATTAAATTCGTGTACGACTGAAATTAGTGGGACAATCTGGACGAGTTTCACATAACGTAAGCAATCAATTTAAGAGGTTCAATCAATTGTTAAGAAAAAATGCATGAGCCAATGAAAAGACGCGAAATTTCATTGAGCCAATGAAACGACGCGAAATAACCTAACCACACAATAAGTATATACAAAGAGGTATACGTTATGTAAGATAAAAATAATCGTCCTAAATTAATTGTTAAAATTCAATCAAACTTGCTCGGTGTATGTTGATTTAGTCGTTGGAAAAAAAGCACACCGAAACCCAATATAATTGCTGCCTTCCTCCAATGCGTCTTAAACTGATTGTTTACGTTATACAAGTTAGAATATAGAATTGATCGATCGATCGATTGGGCAAATCAGCACAAAAGTCCAAATATTGGGGTAAAACGACAATACCGCCAAGATTGTCGTTGTGGAGGTTTTGACTACTTTTTCGAGTCGAAACATCGACCAATCAAAGGGCGTGCACGAAACATTTCAGCCAATCATCGAGTAGTCGAGTTGTTTGGCCCAACCAAAAACCGTGTACAGCATCATCTGGAAAAAGAATGTTTTTATCTTTCCACCAATCATCGATTAGTAAATATTGCAATGTACTTTATTTCCACAATCATCGCTTTGGAAAGTGGTTAAAGGTGCAGACCACACATACATTATTACTAGTCCATGAAAACTTGGAAATCAGACTCAGCCAAATATCGAATCAAAACGTTTTGTTTCACTGATATAATTTGTATTTTAATTTTAATTGGTGCTTTTATGGGAAAATCCGCTCAAGTTTTTTTATACATCGTAGTAGGATCCAAACATGCACATGAACAAATGGTTAGCGAGTCCTACGACGTACACTTAAAATGGCCAATTTAGTCTGGAACAATCGCTGGTTGTCGTAAATGTAGTCGCACAGTAACGGTGTGACTACGTCCGGTACGTGCACACACAACCCGACCAACGACTGGCGTCGAAGTGCTTCAAAATGCAACCTACAAAGCAAAAACAAGCTCCATGAATTAATATTATTTTTATAAAATTTGTCACAGCCTTACGTTTGAAACGAATCGTCCAGACGGAGTAGCACCGTGGTGATTTCCCCCGCCATGTGGTGCAAATCGTGGGGCTGCCGAGCAATGACCCGCGGCAGCGAGGCCAGCGCCACCTCCGTCACATCCCGATTGTCCTCCATGACCAGACCTTCCTTGACCTGCCACAAATACACGAGCGGCGCTCGGTTCTGCAGCACTTGGTCGATGATCATCTACAGTAAGAAACATCTCAAATGAGTATTATATTGGCCAAGGACGAGTCTGGATGATCACACATCCCAAGTTTTGCGCAATAATATTTCGAAAATATATTTGGTTCAACGTAATTTGAAGAATGTTTGGATTGTCACGTATATTTTTTTTACTGTCTGGATCAACCGAAATAACCTCTCGACGAGTTTTTGCGAATTTTCAGAACAAACAAGTCCGTTGAACCACATTTATATATATATATATATATGTTCTTTGGCGAAACACGAGAGAATTGGCAATATATATATATATATATATCGAATTCTCCAAATGTTGGATCCACACAGATACGTTTGTATTCATTTTTTGTGCCGATTTCTTCAAAATAGCCAAAAACATCCAAGACTTTGCCTTTTCGTACACATCCACACTATGAATGGCCTTTAAAAGTCTTCAAATCTTTTTGAATCAAAGCAATATACAGCCCCTACAATCCATATAACCTACGTCGTAAATTCACTTACTTCAGCATCACTCGACGATACAACTTGGTTGCCTTTGTCATCGTCATCGTTGTCACTCAGGTCCTCGTACGCGTCCAAGCTAACAACGGAATCGCCGCCGCCGCTTTCGTCGTCGCTGTCACTTTGCACCAGGGCGTCCAGATTTTCATCAATTGTGACTTGTTCGATCTCATTGACATGGTTTAGACTTTTGTCGGCGAGATTCAATTTGCCGCCGTCGATTCCACCAGTGGTTTTGATGCAAGACACGATGACGTTATCGTTGTCCTTGGCTTCTTCGTCGTCAGGGGGTAAATCGTCGAAAACCAGCGGAGATTCGGGGGATAAGATGTGGGACAAGGCGGTGGCCACGCGCATGCCTGTATGGCGGACTTCCATCAACGCATGCCCCATGTGCTCCTGCGACAAGGTTCGTCAATACACACCACTATATCCTCTCGAACCACATACCACAGAAAAAAAAAAAAATATATATATATATATATAAAATTCTTTACAACGTAGAAAAACGACAGCATTGTCAAAAGGACATTAATACAATTGAAATAGTATAGCCATAGATTGTCGACGATTGCCTTGAAATGGTCAACCGTGCACAAACGGAGACATCGGATTGGCTCATATCCACTTTGCCTTTTCAGATTGTAGCCAATATACAGCCACAAGTCATTTCGGATTGACCAATGGGTGAGATTGGTGCATAAATCACACCGAATCTTCTCTACATACATATATATATATATAGAGGAGATTCGGTGATATATATATATATATATAGAGGAGATTCGGTGTGATTTGGGCACCAATCTCACACATTGGTCAATATATATATATATATATATAAGATCAACATGATTTAAAAGGACATCAAGCAATCGTACTTGGATGCCTTTGCACAAGTACGCCGTCCACCCGTGCTGGTCCAAGTACGACTTGGACGTACTAGTAGTTGCTTGCAAGACATGTAACAGTCCGGCAGTGAGGAAGCGGCCGATGCTGACGCTGCGGTTGGTTTCTGTGACACTGTTATCCCGTGTAGCCCACGCCAGCACCACACTGTGAAACACATGATCAAACGACGAGGCGTCCGATGACCACAGCAGACGGACCAGCATCGCATGCGTGGGCACATGCAGCGGAGTGTGCAGCACGAGTTTGGTCAGTTCATATTGGCACACTGGATGGGGCACCAGAACTTGTAGCCACGTTGGAGCTATTGCTGGCGTTGCCGTGTTGAGATGGGAGAGGACAGAAGGGATAAATGACGGGTAGCAAATAGACGGAATGGCCTACCAGGAGGATGGGAATATGAGATGTGGTGTCGTTGATGGGAATGAATATGTGACACGTGGTTGAAATGGAGTAGAACGTTGGTAGGTGTACCTTGGCCAAGGACCTGTCGTCGTCGTGGGAGTGCGATGGACGTGAAAGCCATTCTAATAGCATCCACAGCAACATTTATGATATATATATATATATATTATAAAGTTGCTACAATAGCACCGATCCCAAATCTCGCCGCGAAAGTTGATTGGCTTTCCCAATTCCGCAGCATGCAAGAAAGAATATAAAAAGAGAAAAAATCATGTAGCCAATCAGTGACAAGATTTTTTCAGATTGACCAATGGGAGCGATTCATGATGAAGATTGGTCGGTGTGATTCAATTTGACACGGGGTCTGGAAATTCGTACCAAATCCATTATATATATATATATATAATATATCCTAGAGAGATCAACAGAAGGGGCTCAGAATTTCCTACCTTGGACAAATGTCGACATATGGCCTTGCCGCGATACCTTGACGAGAAAGCCGCGCACGAGAATTGGCTGCTTGTCGCTTGTGGGAATCGAGTCAAGCGCATGCAGAAATCCTTGGATAAGGTTTGAGTAGTAGGTGGAAGGCGTGAAACAGGATGGGGTGTCGTGGTGAAGCAAATTGTGCATTTTGACTAACAACAAGTCAGGGGCATGGAGTTGGTGGAGGTGACCGCACCTGGAACGGCGCCGACGAGGGTGATCACGACGTCGATGGCGGCCTGATGCGAGTTGCGGGTGTTAGAACGTCGTATATAGACACGTCGACTTACTTCGTTGGACGCGGTGCGCAAGAGCTCCGTGAAAAGGGCGGACGTGCCGGCGGCTCCTAAAAACCCTACGAGCGCACGGCCCGCTAGGCGACATGATACGTCGTCCCATGTACTCTGACATGCCGTCAATGCAAGAAAAAAGGTTCGGATTGGATGAGGGTGGTGAGCTGCAAGACGTAGGGCAGTCTTCACATTCAAGAGGGCGTCCACAGCCGCAAGTACTGGATTGCTTGCTTGTGAATGCGCCAGTTGAGCCGAGGTGAACCACGCAGGCGCCACTGCTGCAAGCACATGCGACAGAATGTCTTCGTAGCACGATGCAAGGAATGTAGCGTCGAGATCCAACAAGAGAATCACCCGCTCAATGTCATAGCTGGCCTCCGCCGCCGACATCTCACCGCGCCAAGCCATGAACGATGGCCATGTCGACATGTTTGTTGAATTGTGGGGTTATCCGGTCAGTAGCATAAATCCGGATGTATTCAAAGGCCACATGCTATTAAATAAAAATCCAAGCATTTGTACACATAATTTTATTATGCATACAAAAGAAAGGTATTTCGAACAATATTGCGCGCCAAACTCTTCATTTTTGAATTTTCTACGGAGGGCTCACTGTGATACTACCACCGCGCCTACAAAGAAGCAACGTGCGGCAACCGCTTCTTCAGCCACTTCTCAATCGCGTCGAGTTCATCGAGGCATGCGCTGTGCTCCATGTCAGGGTACACCTTGAAGTCGGCAGTGGTCACGGCATGGGACGCCTTCAAGACATCCAATGACCTCTTTGCCCAATCCAAACGCACCACCGTGTCCTACGAGAGGGAAACGTTAAGAGTGCCATCAGAGGCATTTACGTACATCTTCTCCGTGGCACATGAGAAGGGGTACATCTTTGGTGACTTCGTTGGCATGGAATCCCTAGGAATTGCTCAGGGATCGACAACAAAGCAAGATGATACCTCTTGGTTGGGAAGGTACCCCGAAAGGACAAGAATTCCCGCCAGAGCTTTATCCAATTGGTATCCAGTGTACAAACTCATGGCGCCTCCCTACAAACATCACGATTCAAGGACGCACGGTAAAAGATAGGATGTTTACCTGGCTGAAACCACCGAGGACAATACGGGAAGGTGGAATACCGCCGTCGATTTCGCCTTGGATGATCTTTTCGATTCGTTCACGCGAAGAATCGATGCCAGTGCATGGATCTCCCGCACGATCGGTGAGCGACCGAATATCGTACCACGAAGGCATCGACGCACCCATGTTGAGAGTCACTGGTTGTGTAGGCGCTAACACGGCGAAACGAGGGGATCAGCGAAAGCGGAGCCAGCATGACAACAATGAAGCTATGATGGCCCAGATGGGTTATGTACCTGTGGGGAGAACGCACTTGAGATGAGGAAGTCGCTGGGCGATGTGTTGAATCGAGTCAGCCCATCCATACGCGGTGTCGCCCAAGCCATGCATGAAGATTAGCGACGCGGTGTGCGGTGCCTTTGGGGTGAAAGTTATGGTGCTTGCATCGTCGACGCCGACGGCGTGAGTGGACAGTGGACGGCGGGACATGGCGCGGTGGCAAAGGAGCGGGAGGCGGCGTTGCACTCGTCCAAGCATTGCTCAGTCTTCCAATGTCACACGAACAACTATCCGGAAATTCCGGATACAATGATATTCCTGAGATTCCACAAAAGGACGGCGATCCAGTTTGATCGGCCGGCGCCACCTCCACGACGCTTCGACTACTCGCGATGCCGTTGCTGGATGATCATGCTGATGACGATACTGAGGTATCTACTTCAGCTACTACAAGCGATGGGCACGGAGATGACGACGAGCGGTCACTCTTGAATGAAGGCAATGTCGACATCAACGATGGTGCCGATTGCAATGCGACCGATGTGGACACGGTATGGTCTCTAAGAACAATGTGAACCTCATCGCGATGGCAGGAAGTGGAGTCAATCGGATGCGGCTTCTTCCATCATCGAATGGTTATGTACGTTGTTCCTACAAGCTGTGAATCACATAACACGGACGATCTCTTGTAGCATTTTGGGGTTGGGCAATGCTGCAGATGCGGTGGAAATCCTTGCGATGAACTACATCTTGGCCGACTATGGCACCATAACTTCTTGGGAATCCAGTACACATTGGATCATCCATCCTCCTTCACCACTTCACGATGATCACAATGGTTGATGCGGTAGGTTGCCTCACCGCGGCGGTGTTCGCGGGTATGCTCGTGGGTGGATTGGTCGGTGGCGTCATGGCAGACGCTTACGGTCGTCGGCCCATCGTGCTCCTCAACTTGGGTATCAACGCCGTGTCGGCGCTGCTGTCTGCCCTGTCCCCAAGCCTCAACTGGCTCATTCTGTTCCGGTGCTTGGCTGGCATAGGTCTGTCTATCATCAACGTCATCTGCTTCTGCACGTATCATGTCTTACATGTTCCTGTGGTGATGATTGTAGGGGTGGGCGGAATCGTCTCGTGTTTGTTTGCGTTGTGTGTCGAGCACTTGCCGACGTCGGCGCGCGCGCGATACATTACCATCTTGTGCTCATTTTGGATGGTGGTGCGGTGTATACGTATCTGTTGCTTATTTCGAACCAACAATCGTTCAATATATAACGATCGGATAGGGCTCGATCGCTACAGCGGCCATGGCGTGGGTGATGCTAGGCAACGTCGTTGGCACGCACACACGTATATTGCCATGGGCAAACTGGAGGCACTTTGCCGCTTGTGCTGGCCTGCCGGCGCTCACGAGCTTCCTCTTGACATACTGCTACGTCCCCGAAAGCCCTCGGTTCTTAGCCTCACAGCACCAATATGCCGAGGCCGCCTCCGTGTTGGCGCGTATTGCCCACGTCAACGGGCAACGGGAATATGCGACACCGTGCTTGACACAGTCAGACAAGAACCATCCCCAGCGTCGTCAAGATGACCCGTATCGCATGCAATGGTTTGTAGCGTCATCTCGGCTACGGAAAGTCGCGCTGTGCCTGATTGTGACGTCGTTTGCCCTTAGTTTTGGTACGTTGGTGAAACGATGGAATAATGTGTATATACTTTTTATTGTTGTCTTGAATATTGTGCTTTCGAGTGACATTTCATTGTGTTGTGGCGTGGTTTGTCGTTGGAATTTAAATCGATTTGATTGGCTTCCTCCGATGAGCTCAAATTATTATCCAATCAAAACCCTCTCAATGAAATCCAACCAATCAGATCGATTGTGGATCAGTTTGGTACCCCCTCCCCAAATTTGTATCAAATCGACAATATTGCTAATAATTAATATACAATCATGTGATAGGATCGTATGGGATCTCGACGTGGATCACAAAGTTGTTTGTCAGCATTGGCCTCTTGAATCCATATGCGAATGCGTTCTTGTATGCTGGAGCCAACCTTCCCGGGAACCTACTCAGGTATATATAATATATATATATATATATATATGTACCCACGAAATGAGATTTCCCATACATATCCCCGTCATACTTTCTATGAAGATATTGCTAATAAATACAAAATACCTATATTCAGTTCAGCATACGACATTCCTTTACTAAAAGAAATATCAACCCAAGTAAATAAACTTTAAAAAAAAGTTAAAACAGGAGCAAATATAAATAAAACTACATCACAATCCCATTAAGATATTTGTTTGTTGTAGCTACCTCGTGGTGGATGCATGGGGGCCCTCCGTTCTTCTCAAGATAGCCCTTGTGGGTGCTGCTGCCACAGCGCTGCTCTTTTCCTTCCAGCTCATCGATACCGACAGCACCCCATTACGTTCAACCGCTAGCTCTGCATCCTCCATAACCCCAACAACGACTCAAGGACATCACGACTCGAGTCGCGCCGTCGTTGTGTTGCTTGCGTGCGTGTTTAATGCCATCACCACTGCTGCGTGGAATGCCGTACGTTGATATATTGAGGATTCGGTAGTACAAATTTCCTGACCCCGTCGAATCACGATGAATCAACGCTATTGGCTAATCCAGCTTTGAGTGGATTTGATTGGCTCTTACAGAAAGGACAAGTATAGTCAGCCAATCAGAAGTTTCCGGTGTAATTCAATCTTAAATAGAAAACCACGACTGGTTTTGGAAGTTACTAGCGAATTCAAACTACATTCCATTGGCATGATTCATTTATGTTAAGAACTCTATTTCTTTTTGTCTTTAGTACTGCTTTTTAGAACAATCAAAATCATAACAAAATTATATTAATAACAAATATATTTAATTATGTTTATATTTTATATTCATACCATTCTGCTTAATTTTGAACATACCGCATCCTTCAAATCTTCAAATCCTCTCTCATGAATGGTATATAGTATAACAAACGTATAACCAACTACAAGTTTGTCACGATGTGATGGTTATCCTAGTTTGGCGTGGTATCGACCAATGCGTTTCCGCTGCCCGTGCGAGTGACTGCCATGTCCGTAGTGAGCTCCATGGGTCGACTGGGCGCGATCGCTGCCCAGTTTGTGAATGGCTTTCTCATCGGCCCTCCGCCCCATCTCATGACGCTGCTCGTGGTCACGGCGTCGGTGCTGTTGATAGGCGCCGCGGCAGTTGGCGGGGTTACTCCTGCATCTACCACGTCGTTGCCGCGCAAACCAAAAACGGCCTCTGGACGCATCCTCAGAGACACAGACGACTCAACCAACTTGTCATCGGTGGTCGTGCGAAGTAGTCATATGAACGTACAAGACGAGTGACGTAAACCAGTACCCCTGGTATTGTCGAAATATATATATATATACTATCATATTGATTTGGTACGAATATCCGGACCCTGCCTGTTCATTTGAAGAGTACGAATCGTTCCCATTGGTCAATCTAGAAAAATGCTTGTCGTTGATTGGCTATCGTTTAACTTTTGCGGGAAAGCAAAACGAAAAATTTCGCCACGAGATTTATAGCTTCGTGTTACAAATCGCTTCGAATTGGGATATTTGTGTCGCCACTTCAGAACTTATTTGAGCCAGAGAACAAAGTCCCGAGGTATGCACTTTGAATATCCAGTATTATATATATATAT